AAAAAAAAAAAAAAAAACCGACACCACTCTTTCTCTCTTTCTTTTTGTGCTTTACAGAGAAGACGAAAGGGAAAAGACGCCTCATGTTCTGGTCTTGGCTTTAACGTTAACATTTCTCTTTTCTGACAAGAGACGACCTGTCGGGTTTCTTCTGTCTCACCTTTTGAAGAGCACGATTATGTTCTTTACAGCCTCCGTAGCCCCGATCGACCCGGTCTGCCGTTATCTTTCTATCCAGGTCTGCGTTAAGCTACGCGATATGTCAACTCCAATCGTCACAGTTTCTTCTGTAAAATACAGGCCGTGGAAATCTCTGAACACATTCTGTGTTGACGCAGACGTTCAGGACAGCTGAGTTCTTTGGCCTGAGAGTGATAATCACCGATGGATCTGATCCACCAACAAGGATAAAGGTCGTATCTGAGAAAGTCTCCAACATTCACATAAGTAGAAGTAGTGCTAAAATGATTTTAACTATGCATAATGCTCTCATAAGATTAAAGTCCTTACTTGTTTGTGAGTGGTGGATTACATTATAAAAGAGTGTAAAGCTGAAAAAAGCCCTGAAATATCCGCTGACTTTTAAATTCAGAATGTATGTGAAACTTTTCATCTACTGTCGAACAGCGTATGTTCCTTACAATTGAATTCCCTTCTGTGGAGAGAGGCTGCGTGTACATTTTTTGGCCGTGTCGGCTGCAGTCATATCATATGTAGTATAAAAGGTGAAACGTTAGGAGAGGCTGTCCACTGGGTACCTGGTAAGAAGGCCTGCGTTTTACTTCCTAGGGTCGTGGGTTTGTGACGTCATGGCAACGATGACGGGCTGCTGGGCAGACGTGACTTGATGCTGCGAAGATTCGGTCCCGCCGTCGTCCTCCATCTTCGGCCGCTTGGCCTGGGGGGCGCCCGACAGCTCGGCTAAAGTTTCTGCACTGGGCTGTCGGCTCAGGAGCACCGGGGGGGAGCTGGAGGCCTGAGCAGCCAAGATCTGGAGAGGACTACTGAGCCCTGGGAGGGAAATGAAGAGAGAGTGGGGGTGTTAACAGCGAGCGCCGCACGAAGCTCTAACACGAAGCAACTGTACAAAAAGGTTGGAGATATTTATGGTTTTATGAGAAGTGTAAAAAGAATTTCTGATCACCACGCTGAGGTCATGTTTTCACGTCTGTGAGCAGCATCATGCAAAAGCTACAAATCTGATTTTGATGAAACTTGACGGAAGGCTGCGTTCTTTATGAGCCAACAAAGAATCCATGAAGCAGATTCAATAAAGGAGGCGGCTCCAGGAATCTTTTTTATCCTGTGATTTGACCTTTTTGAGAATTTCTTAAGAAACTAGATTATTACTAGATTTTTATTTGTCCCCTAAAACATTTTTTTCCATCAACGTTTCTTATCTAGAAATGTTGAAGAGGGTGAAAAGAAATGACTGAACATGGATCCACACCAAAACGTGTTTTCCTTTGGTCATAGTTTTTTGCATAACGCTGCTAAATAACAAACAAACAAGAGCATAATAGGAGATAAGAAGAATATTAAGGGGGCTGAGACCTGTGAGTTTGTGCAGTTAATTGAATTTAAGGAGACTGTTGGGCCTTGGCGAAGGTATGAGCTCTACTAGCGGGACAAATTAGACCGTGTGTGTGTGTGTGTGTGTGTGTGTGTGTGTGTGTGTGTGTGTGTGTGTGTGTGTGTGTGAAACATTGCGTCATCTCTGTTCACAGCAGCACTGCAGGTGTTTAATGTGTGAATCCTCGTGTTCTATTGTATGTGAATATAAAAAAACCTTCATACAAAACAGTGTTGATTCATTATTTTCGAATGTGTCTCATTCATTCCAAACATATTAATCTTGTTGGTTAACGAGCATTGGTTAACGAGCGTTGGTTATCTTATATTGTTCAGATTTGGTGGAAGTAGTTTTAAAGAAGTACTGATTACATCTAAGGTACTTTAGTTTAATTGTTTTACATTAGACAGAAACACAATTTCTGTATAATACAGCAGTTTTTACAGCAGCATGGTTGAGGCTAAATACTAGACACTGTCTGTATAACACAATAAAGTTAGATCAGCATCACAAAATACAGCTTCCATAACGAGCATATAGATGAATAAGCTCCTGCATCTTATCCGTTTCTATAACTAATGGTTCTCAAAGTATTTCAGCTTAAACTGAGGATAATACTGTTTATGGAGGGAGGATTTAATGCAGAAATATTTTATTAGATTACATTAGTTGAAGTTATTTGTACCTAATAAACTGGGGACTGACCATATATTCTTAAATCTCCTGTATGTAAATAATCACTTGTGTGCCGACGGCAGGACACTGGTTTTTGTCCTGGTCCTAACAGGCAGTGACAACCTGTCTCCATCATTGTGGAGGGTCAGTGTGTATCTTACCAGATGCATTAGCAAGGCTGGTTGCTGTGGCTACAGCAGCAGTGGTGTGTTTGCCATTCTGAGTAACAGGACGAACAGGAAGTTGATGTAGACCCGGAGCCAGGTTCCGTCCATCTCCGCCCTGCACAGCACTGTCCACGGTCTGGATCACCCGCTCTCTGCTCAGTTGCACTTCTGAGGTGGAAAAACATGAAACGTTTCAGATGTGTAAACAATAAAATTAACATTGTGGAAGAAATAAAATCTGCCACTAAAAAGGTTCCCTCCCTAAAACACAGCTCATCCACTCAGAAGAAAATATGCACATCTTATTTAAAAGTACAGCAGTAATTTGTACTATATAATTTTAAACAAATTATAATAAATAATCGTTCATTAATCGTAATTGAGGTAAAAGTTTGGCATGATCGTGATATTGATTTGAAGTCATATCACTCCTCCCTATTTAAATAAAGGTTAAAATAATAATGATGCATACATGTGTTTAACTACACTAGTAACATTCAAACACAATAAGTAAATAACTGTCAGTTACTATTACACTAAAATGACGGACGTGTGGTCAAATATCATATCACAATTATCCTGAACCTTTTAAAAACGCTTTAAACTAGGAGTTTGGACTTAATATAACTTGTAGGATCAAACAGAAACAACAATACTATAGAATGTGCAAAACAGAGAGATTCACATACCTCGGAGCTCACCCTCTGCTCCTCCACCAGAGGGGGCACTGTAACCATTCGGAGGGTTGGAAAGTGGATGTGCACTGGTGACCAACCGCATCATGGTGAGAGACGTCTGAGGGACGCTCTGGAGCAAGTGGATGGACTGGACTTGACCGCTGCCACCTGGAACCAGAGCGAGGGCCTTTCCCTGTCCTGTCGGGTGGGGGGGTGCTGCCATGATGACAGGCTGAGCACTGACTGGAGATCCTAGAGAGACACACCCAAACAACAATGTCATGTGAATGCCTTCGTGTGTGTGTTTGTGTGTGAGTGTGTTCATAGGCCTGGTGTGTGTGTGTGTGTTCACCTGGAGCGCTCTGGGAGTACCTGTACTCAGGTACAGATGCCAGTTTGTTAGCCAGCTGTTCGTGGTGGTCGTGGGGGATAGGAGAGCCCTCCCTGCTCAGACACTCAGGAGTCTGGAGTCCACTGGATGGAGGAGAGAGGAGCCCCTGGTGCGTCGGGGAGGCAGGGGCACTCCTGAAAGACAAAATGAAGGGAGAGAGAAAATAATTAAAATACTAAGAGGCTCCGATTAAAATTCTGAGCTCCGCCACTGTGAGAACGTTCTGCTGAACAGTTTAACCTAGAAATTAAACTTACTTTGTTCTATCCAATCAAATGATAGCGAGGATCAGAAGCAGAGAAACAGGAAGAAGAGTTAACCAAGTCAAAACCCAGGAGACAGCGGATGTGTCTGACAGTGTCTTGTGTGTGTTTGTGCAGAAACACCCATGCACAGTCCCGCTCACCTGGAAGAGAGAGGTCCAAATGGCGTCCTAAAGCAAGCCACGCCCCTTTGCCGTCTTTTCCTGAAGGCTTGCTCCACCAACTTGCTCTCGGAGGCAGAATCCACGCGCCAAAAACTGCCCTTCCCAGGCTCATCCTGAGAGCGTGCCACTTTCAGGAAGTAGCGGTTGAGGGACAGGTTGTGTCTGATTGAGTTCTGGACGGAGGAAAAACATAAAGAGTGTTTTGTTACTGGACACAAAGACACGCCTCTAATTTAAAGGAAAGGAATTAGTCGATATCAATAATTATCACACCGATTCTTGCTTCTTTATGTACAGACAATGACAAACACTTTATTATATATATGTTGGACTTCTGTTTTATAGCCAACGATGAAAATTATATAGCGATAATAATTAATATTGTTTTATTGACCAGCAGTATTTGTGGTATAAGCACCTACCTGCCAGCCCTTGTCTGCAGTGCGATAGTAGGGGTAGTGTTTAGTGATGTGGGCGTAAATGCCACTAAGAGTCAACTGTTTGTCTGGTGCTGAGGAGATCGCCTGGACGATGAGCTGTGCGTAGGAATACGGTGGTTTGGACTCATCCTGGACAAACAAGACAATAAACAAAGCTTTCAGCACGTGTTGTAAAAGAATGTGGTTTAAAAGATGAAGTGGTTATTTATCAGAATCGACTTCAGGGTGGTGAGCGTCTCCACTGAAGATTCACCTTGGGGCTGTCTCCACCTGCCGATTCCCCCCGCTGCTCACTTCCCCCACCTCTCTGCTCGACAACGCTTCGTCTCTGCTCAGAGACGGCCTTGGCAGCATATTCAGCTGCTAACTGGAGGTCAGAGGTCACGTTGCGTCCATAGCGATACCCTGATGACCCTGCTCCACGTGGACTGGCTGGACAGGAGGTAGGAACACTGGAGAAGAGACAAGTCCAAGAGAGTGACTTAAAGTGATTCTGAAAACACTTTTACAAACCCTTAGAGGAGAAGAAGGAGCAAGTAAAGCTTTATATAAAATTCCACTTTTCAGTTCAAATAATTTATTAAATACTGTATGAAATTTTAAATACTGAAAAAAGAAATCTACTCTGAAATTATAAAAACACTAATTCATCTCTTTCAGGGAATCTTAATAGGATTTATAGACAAATTGTGAATATTTTTTTGACTATTTGAATGTAACTTGAGTCAAAACATCCAGTAGAATATAAAACAATTATAAATAAATATGGAATCTAATCTAACATTTAAGTGATAAATGTCGTTTTAACAAAAACATACACCAAAAGACACGTTTGGTAAATGATGACATCTCAGATCCGCTGTGTTTTAAACACATAAAGCAATCAAAAATACACAACAATGATCGGAAATACTCAAAAGCGCGTTAATCATTAACTGGGGTTTTATCTGTCGCTGTCGAGAGACGGAACACAGGGAACACCCGGTAACTTATTACACAGCGTACACCTGCTTCTGTTAGTTAAGTAAACAGTGGTTTCTGGGAGAGTCAGTGTGCTTTGATTTGCCTCTGGCAACAGAGAAGCTCAAAAACAGATAGTAACACACACAGAGAGAGAGGGAGAGAGGGAGGGAGGGAGAGAGGGAGGGAGGGAGAGAGGGAGGGAGAGAGAGGGAGATGTTTGTAGTTTTTGGCCAGGGGAAACCAGGCTACAGGCTCTGCTGTGAAAATGGCTCCATGAGCTCAAGGCTGCAGAGTGAAAGAAGACAAACGTGGTGCACAAGGTTCTCTTTGGTATAAAGACATAACTGTGTCTTTAACTCCACATGTTGCATTATTAAAAGTTATGTGTGAGTCTCGTTTTTTCATTCCTCTTACTGCTTTATTGGTTTTATTGTTGTTGTTGTAAAGGGCTGTATAAATAAAGAACATTTACATTTACATTTGTGAACAGGGGCCTGAACTACAAGTGGCTGGCAGGGGGAGCGGAATCTTATTAAGTTTCGTTCTTTTAAGTTACCAAACAGGAAAAGTGACTCTTACCACCCAGTGAGAAGACGCTGTTTGTGTTTAACGAGGGAACACGTGGTATTGTGCAACCCTCTTCATGTGTGGGTATTGTACGTGAGAACTGTTGAGGAAGGTGATGCAACAAAAGGCCAAAGTGTGAGTGACTGAGAGATGTATGAGCAAGTGTCTTTACTCTGTGTGTGTGTGTGTGTGTGTGTGTTAGTGTGTGTGTCCACGTGTGAGAGAACAGGAGCTGCGGGCTGAGCGGGAGGGGTAGGGGGGCTCTGAAAAGGAAACCACGAATGGACGGAAAAACGGCCCGCAGGCAAAACAATCTGCCCGACAGCCAATCACGCGCCTCAAAGCTGCAGCCATCCCATATAAGGCATGCACACACAGGCCGAAAGTGGTGGGGATATGAGATGCAAGTACACGCACACGCCACCAGAGGATGCACTCAGCAGCCCCGCACTCTCTCGCCCCACATGCTGTATGCTCTGTACATTTATAGAGCAGTGATTTTCAAACATGTGCTACCACAGCTGCCTCGAGTGCAGATTTCCATCTCCACAGAAACGCTGCAGGAGCTGCTGCTGAACACACCATCGACCACAACACATACTTTCCTTCAACGAGAAACTAAACCTCACTTCAGCATTATTATCACTCTTCTTTGCACAGATGACTTCATGAACACGCACAGACCCGAGATAGAGAGTCACGAATAGAAATCATTTGATAAAGCTAAAGCGCTCGTCATATGATGTGCAGAGACAAACGGTCATGAAGGGCTGTTACGTAAAAGTGTTTTCAATTCGGCTTAATTAATACAATAAGTGCATCGTACGCATGTTTGCCATCTTAGTAAAATTACAAAAATAGATTTCATCACATTTAATTCATTATGTGTCTAATCGAAGTCTAATCTCTCTCTGAACAAGGAGCCAAGATTTTAAAGATTATCTTTTCTGGGTTCCTTATCGACATTCATTATCTATGCATATGTTTGCAGAATCATACTTTATTTATTGGTATTTAGTTTAAATTGTAATTTAATTAATGAATCAATTTAAGTTGGAGAGGAATCTATGGTGCTTGTGATTTCTTAACCTTTACTTTCAGTTTTATTTGTTTTAAGATCGTAGAACTTTTCACCCCTTCTGCCAAATCTCCCGCTATGGTTATGAATCGAAGTTTCATCCTGTGCTCGCATTTATCAAGGTGCACGTGCTGGTGTGTGTTTGTGAATCTCCACTCACCTGATGGTGCCTGTGGGCGACGGCTGCGGAGAGCCAAACGCCCTGATGTGGTCTTCATGCTGCTGCAATGTAGGAATGGTGATTTTCAGCGGTGAAATGTGGGGCAGAAGCGGCCGGGGGGGAGGAGAGGGGTGCTCTTTCTCTCGGTGCTCCTCGGCCTCCAGGAGTGACATAAACTGGATTTTGATGATTGTACTGGGAAAACGAAACACACACCTGGAGAGCGGGACAGCAGGAGAGACAGATGGTGGAAGACACGGGACAGAGAAAATGGAGACAGGTTTTTGATTAGTTCGCTCAGCCAAGCATTTAAATTATGTTGCTAAAGCTTTTTCTCATATCAAGATCCAAGTACATTTTATGTTTATCTGAAACTGCGTAACATTTCAAAACATGTTTCCTTAGAACTCAAATCACACAGCGATGAGATTTACCCTTGAACGAGAGGATTTTGTTTAGATTTCAAACAGCATTTACAACATGTTTCACAAAACAAAACACAGGACTAATATTGAATTTATTTGAAATCACTTCTTCGCCGCTCAAAAACAGCAGTTGCACTGAACCGCCCACCGGCAAGTACTGTTTTTAGAGTGGTGAAGAAGAGATGATTTTGAGTGAGCTAACATGTCAGCACTTTCTCAATATTTCACCTTGTAAAGTCCAAAAATAAAACGGTGTACCAGGTGAAAACCTTCAGTTTCCAGGGGTGACACTATTTAAAAAGGTCTATTATTTGTATTAACTGCGGCTGCACTCTAACAACTACTTAACGTTAGAGATTGTGTATTTCCAGATTTATTTATTTGTGTTCTTTTTCAGTTATGACTTATTTCATTGCCTTTGTTTTTCAAAGAGTCTAACCTCAACTAGGCCAAACAACAATGACAACACTTTCATACCGCGCCTGTAGCAAACAGCTGTTAAAATACATTATATAAGTTGTGTGTTTTTTTTTTAAACATACCGGTATCAGATAGGTATCATCTATAGTTTGTTATTCATTCAAAATGAATGTCATTCAAAAGTTTTATTCATTAAGCGCTATACTAAATAAACTTAACTTACTTAATTTTTACCTACAGGCAGCGAGTACGTATAGTTAAATCCTTGTAACTGCAGCCGTCCAACCCAACTATAATGATTGTGTCTCGTAAGGTGAAACAGAAGCCTTACTAATTGAAGGGGTGCTGAGCTGCAGCGAATGTCACGCTCAGACCTCCATATAAAGAGAAGCTAACTAATGAATACAGTCACAGGGCTGCACTAGTGTTGGAAGCAGTTGCAGACGGTTACATCAGTCAGTGATAAGAATATGAAAGAACTGTTCCATCTATTCGCTTTAATGTGTATCTTAAAAAAACTGCATCTGCCAATTGAGATCTGGATCCATGAATACACTGCTCACAGCTGTCTCTGCCTACAGCGGGCCATCCACACAAACTGAATGCCTGCACTGAGGTAGGAAAAAGAGCCCTGTAGCTACAAGGTTCCTCCGCTGAGATGAAAGAGACTGTACATAAAAAAATCAGGCCCAGCTGTAGCAAAGAGAAAGCCACTGTTAAAAGAAATCACATGACATTTCGATTTAATGTTGACTAGAAGGCTCAAGGGAGGCTCAGAAACAAAGTGGTAGAAAGGTCAGTGGTGTGAGCAGACCCGAATTAAGCTTCTAGCATCTATATTGAATAGAGCAACAGAACACATCACATCCAACATGGCGGTGGCAGCTTTATATCGTGTGGATGCGTCACGGCTACAGGTCAATTGAAGGCAACAACTTAAATGCAGCGAAGTCAATCTGCTGCAGCAAACACGATGTTAAAATCCTTGAGAAGCAGGAGTTAAGAGTCCATGCCTCAGTCCAATCCAGACGTGAAAACTAGAATGTCACTCAGAAATTCAACGGAACCAGACTTTTATCTGGATCCACACTAAACTACAAACACTCACACATAGCAGTCCTTTAAATACGTCTGATTTCTATCTCCTACGTTAAAGAAAGTGGAAAAACTCTCTGATCCCATCACAATGTAATGGCTTCTTCCCTGACCCACATCGCATCCCTCGACCATATTTCATAGTAATCGGATAAATCACAATACAATCACTGCAACACAAAGATTCAAATGTGCTTAATTATCCTTAAAAGTGATGATCGTTTTGTATAAAGTGCTCACTTAATCCAACCAGTGTGATTAGAAGCTGGAAGATAAAGCGCTGAGGGGAAGATTGCAGGGTGGGAGCAGGGGACTGATCCCCTGAAGTGCCCCTGTCCTGTCAGAAGTCTAAAAGAGGTCACAATAACATCAGTGAATATGTTTTTTAAATATTTCTTTCTTGTTATAACTGCACAATGTGCTTGAACAAGGAACAGTTTTTAAAACATATTCATGGACGTGTGTCTCAAATAAAAATAATGATAATGGAGATTCAGGTTAAAAACATGGCGCAAATGACACAGAGTCTAATTTGAATTTCGGGGCTTGCGAACAGGAGGATGCTGTTTTTTTAACGTTTGAAGAATCAGTCACCGGTTACAGTCGACTCGGATTCTGCTGCTTCAGTGTTTACCCCTGAGACTCCACAAGTGTTTTGAGGACTCGGTTCACCCGTCCCTTCACGGGCCTTGCGGTGAGTAGGTGTGAATTGTCACGTGTGAGTTGAACTTCAACATGAATCGTAGTTCGTGCTCCACAAAGTGTCTCGGTCTGAGTGTGTGTGAATCCCGGAGCCGGGCTGCAGGGCCACGGGCAGCTCTCCTGAACATGGGCTGAGGTGGAGCCTGTGGCCTTGGTGTGTTTACTCCATGTGCGTCTGCAACGAGGATGTCAGTCCTGCCTGCACTTCCTGTTCAATGCACGACACACACACCCCAAACAGTCCCGACAGCCAATCAGACAGGAGACAGACACAGCCACCCTACCTCCAGCCTGCCCTCCCCCCCCTCCACACTGCAGCACCCCCCCCACCCCCAGTCACTGACTCCACTCGCCGCCACAACTTTCAGTTTGTGCCGCTGAAGAGGAACCAGCGAGCAGGACCGCACGTTTAACCTTGACAGCGGAGCCACGATAATAAAGCTCAAGTTAAACTCACTCCAACACACACTCACACGTTTCACCTCAATGCAATTAAAACCGCAGATGGAGTTTTTTTCTTAATACACAAAAAAGAAAAAAAAGAAACGCACCTCGACCCCGCACACACCAGTGGTCTCGAGTGTCAGGGGTGCGTTTGTTTACACTCATGTTTACGTGACGGTTCGCCCGCAGATTAGCACAACTAGCTGCTAACAGCAGCAGCCGAAACACACGTAACCTGTGTTTCTTCCATCGAGTGAATATTAAACGTTCTTGGTTTTGTGTCGGAGCTCAAACATCAGCGAGAGACAACTTTTGCTACATGCGCTAGCTGGGTTGTAAAAGCTAGGCCAAAAAAAAACTGAGCTAAGTTAGCTTAGCAGCTAAAACTAAGCTAGGTTAAGTCACACATTGAAGATCGATCCATTTAAATCAGAATCATCCGGTGAGACCCGGCGGACAACACGGGGAGAGGGTGGGACGGACACTGGACTCGTTCAGCCGCAGCTTCACTGTTCGAACCCGGTGTTAAAAAAGTTCATTTACACGAATCTGAACCAGGCGGGTGTAATCGGGGTGTCGCGGTAAACTTTGCATCCCCGTTGGAACGCGTCTCCCGTTTCAACATGGAGGTCGTTCATTGGGGCAAAAATGTTAAAAAAAACAAAAAACAGGAGACGGTTTAAAATGTCCACATGTCCGATGAATAATAATGAAGAGTTTAATTCGACCGTGTGAGATTAGAGGGAGGAGAAGCGGCGGAAATAATCATAACAACTAACTAAGCTGTCAGGAAAGTTGGTGGAAGGAGCTAACATGTCTCCGCCGTGGAGCAGCCCCCCCCCCCGTGACCGCACTCACTCTCTGGGCAGCGGCAGCGGCGGCGCCCCTCTCCGCTGGAACACCCCGTCAACGAACACGCCGTTTTTGCCCAGGCAGCGCAGGGAGAAGCCGCCGCCCGCCTCGTCGTGGGTGATCTGCAGGTGCCTCCGCGAGATGAAGCTCGAGTGGCCCATGTTGATGTCCACGGAGCCGTGGGACGAGTTCCGGCCTATGGTGACCGTCCTCAGGCGCATGACGAACTCAAAGTCCCGGCCCTCCAGCCTGGCGAGGGCCTGCGCCGGCGGGGCGGCGAGGCGCACGGGCAGGAGCCCGCCGTCCCCGCGGGCCTCCATCAGCGGGGGACCCAGCAGGGCGAGCGAGGGCTGGTGGTAGATGTGCGAGGTCACCGCGACTCGCACGGGGCTGCACGGCGCCGACTGGAGGGCAAGCAGGGCTCGAGCTCCGGTGTCTTCCCGGTAGTCTGCCATCTTCTTTCGGAGGGTCAACACTCAACACGCACACACACTCTTCACTTCTCTCTCTCGCACACACTCACACGCGCGCACACACACACACACACACACACGGTTGCAACGTGAGAGTTTTCGGACGCAGCACTTGTTCGCTCCGTGGCTGACGGAACAACATGGAGTCCGGGATCCTGCGAGAACCGGAGTGGATCCCCCCCCCGGCAGGAACCGGACTGAGGCTGCGTTCAAGACCCCCTTGTACAACTATTGGATAAACTTCCATTCATCCCACAGCGAGGAAATGTACTTGTTGAGAAGAAGATATACTTTTACTGTCACGTTTTTAACACTTGTTACAGCAGCAGACACAATAAACACAGTAAACAATCAACCTGCAAACAGACAGTGTGCAAAAACTAGTACTGAGGATGACAAAGTGGCATGATATAAAAAGTACTGTAATGCAAAGTGCAACGTAATATGAGTAATATTGCAAGAGTAAGAGGCCATGACATAAATAATGCTGCAAATAAAATGAAATAAAAATATTGCAATGAATAGTGACCATGATATAAATACTATGGTGAGGTAAAGTGTATCCATGATGATATAAATAATATTGTGCATCGTAACAACAACAGCAATAAGAAGAAGAAGAATATTTGAATGTATATTGCACTTCTCAAAGTTCTTGCTACAACATCTGCTGCTACCTGTACTTATATTCTTCATTCACTGTACATAGTTTCTGTCTGTATTACTTACCTCAGTGCACTCTGATCACTTTAATCACTCAGCTGCAGATATATATATATATATATATAAAAAATACAAAAGTCCATCTCAGCCGCTGACACTAGATGTCAAGAGATCAGTGCAAAACAAAACAAAAAACAGAAGTAGTCCTCCATATCGATGCTGTCAGTGAGATATCACCGCAGAGCTTGTTCCTTGAACGCACCATCGAGTCACCTCTGTGGATAGGTTACAGTTCATGACGTCACACCAGGAAACTCTTGGCTGACTTGAGTGTTTCTAGATTTTATGTTTTTGATTTTTTGTTCTGATTGTTTTCTCCTGAAACGATCACATTGTGAATCTTTATCTTATTAAATCACTTTACTCTCGTAACATAACGAATTGTCCCTTTAAATTACAACTCTATTCCTGTAATATTATTAACTTCTTCGTGTGACTCTCTGTGAGCTACATTATTCTTGTAATATCATGACGTTTTCCTTTAAATTACAACTTTACGATTCTAATATTATGACTTATTTTTATTCACAAGTGATCATTTAAATACACGAACACCCAAATAAATGAATAAATCACACAAGGCAGCCACTGGAAGCACATATGAGATCTGCAGCGTTTACATTTCACCATGCAGCGTGTGATGCCTCAGGTGGGCTGGATAACAGAGATCAAGGAAAATGGGGAGAGCATTGAAATGCTCCTGTTCTCTGGAGAACATGTGTGAGAACATGTGTGAGAACATGTGTGAGCAGCTGCTCAGGCATGTTCTCTGGAGAACATGTGTGAGAACATGTGTGAGCAGCTGCTCTCCACCTCAGATTCTTCTTCTTGGGTTTTTTTTTGTTTTTGTTTTTTTTAAATCTCAACCCTCTGTTTATAAACATGGAAAGAACAAGATGGTGGCAAACCCCGGATCCTGGATCTGTGAAGGATCACATGAGCAGCCGAAGGAACCAAATGTAGAAGAAGACTGCCCCCTGGAGGCTGCTGCTGGGACAGAAACTGTTCAGAGGGGAAGGTGAACTGTCGTTAACAGAATTATTCACTGTTTTATGAATTTTAATAAAGATTGTAACTGTGCATCAGGAGAACGATTCACAGTTAATACACGTTTTAAGAAAAATGGTCCACGGTGACTCGGTTTAGGATGAAAATCAACAAAAGCTTTTAACAGGAACAAAACAGAAGCAGCTAAAACAGACACAACTGCACTACAGTTTTAATACTGATCTTTATTATTGCAATATTATGATTTGTTCTAATTAAATTACGAATTTATTCTTGTAATGTTGCCGTTTTCTTCAACATTGTCCTCGTAAAATTATGATTTTTCTTCATCAAATCACAATTAAAACTTTTTTCTCGTAACATTTTTCAACTTTATTCTCACATTGAGACTTTCTTCTCACGACTTAGTTCTTGTAACATTAGTTTTTTTTAGAATTAAATTATAACTTCAATCTCGTAATATTAGGATTTGTTTCATTAAATTATGACTTTCATCTCATAACATCATGACTTGTTTCTAATTAAATTACGACTTAATTTTTTCGTAATAACGCGACTTTTAATTAAATTAAATCACAATTACAATCAAATTACAACATTTAAAGGTTTTTCGGATTAAATTACAACTTTAACCTTTAATATTTTAGACTTTTTTCTCATTGAATTATAACTAACTTTTTTCTAGTAATATTGCGAACTTATTTTTGAAATCTCTGATTCTTCCCACGACTGACGTACCGTTGGCAGAAGCACGTGTGCTCTTGTTGCTTTGTTCTAGGTTATTTGGTTTCCAGCAGGAACCAGGAAGGAGTTAACTGATTGGGTAACACTACAACAACAACAGTCCAGAGTTCCTTGAAATGTTTCCAGGGTTGGGCGAGTTCAGTGTAAACTGCTTGAGAGAGTCATGGGCTTTCTTCCTTTCTTCTCTTTGGAAACATGGATTCTACTGATCACCTTCATCTGCTTGTTTGTCAAGTAGGGATCAGAGACTGGGTCTAACCAAAATAACTTCATCTGTCACCTGAGAGAAATGTCCTTTCGAGTGACTAGTAAACAGTGTCTGATTTACAATATGTGACTTTTAAAGGCAACTAATTCTTCTCATGTTCCACAAAGGTACGGCAACTGGGGCTATGGAGTATTCGAAAAGATGGGGATCCCGGGTCCCAAACCAAAGATGTATATAGGCACAGTTACCAGATATAACAACGTACGAAAGTCCTTGTAAAGTTGTAATTCTTTTATTTAAAAATGATTTACTTTTTAAAAAATATACGTTTATCCAGATAGATATGCACGTTAATAATTAACGATCATTATGTCATCTTTGTTATCAGGTTTACTTCTTGGATGATAACGAGTGTGCTAAGAGGTACGGGAGAGTGTGGGGGTAAGTGGACCACAACGCAGCACCACTTCAGAATCTGACACTTCGAGAATGAATTCAAAATATTGTGAGAATAAAGTCGTGGGATTTAAAGTGAGGAATGTGGAACAGCTTGTTTAGTGTGGTGGCAATTTCTGTGAAACAAGCACAAAGTCAAACACTTCGTTCTGTAAGTTTAATTCAGCATCTGCAGATGGACTCATCAGTAAACATCACCTGAATGACATAATCTGTGTTCTATTAACTCACAGCCCCCTCCCACTAAGCACGCAAATGTGTTTATTACCCTCTTATAGTTTCACTGAGTGGAGGAGGCATCCTTCCCTGATGTGTTTACATATTCTGCAGAAGACTTCTCGAGTGAGATCCCAGGTGTGAGATCCCAAACAGAGAAAACATGAGAAACCATAAAGTCGTGGTTTGGAGATTGATCGGAGCAGTGCGGCTCGAGCTGCCTGAACTGGCTCGCAGGCTTTGCTCCATTTAAATTATAACTTCATGACTTTTTTCTCATAAAAGTTTGACTTTATTCACATAATACGGCAACTTTTTTTCTCACAGAAATGACGACTTTATTCTCAAAGTCTCAGAAAATGTTGACTCTAATATTCTGTTGTATATCACCAAGCTATCCATTATTATTTTATTATTTCATTATTATAAGTTTTGTGAAACAGTGTGTTTGACTTTTAGGCATTACATTCAATGACCCCCCCCCAAAAAAATATCAATGTGTGTGTCTGTGTGCATGTCCAGCATGTTTGAGTTCAAGAAGCCCATGTTGGCTGTGATGGATCCTGACATGTTGAAAACCATCCTGGTGAAGGAGTGCTTCACCCACTTCACCAACCGGAGGGTGAGATCACATCACACAATATTTATACTGGAGCAAATGTCAGAGAGGTCCGAAAGACAGATCCTCTGAAAAACAGCAGAGTCATCACGCCTGCAAACTGAACTCGTGACAACACGTTTATGTGCTTGATATATTTTTACTTACATCAGTATATAGTTTAAATAAAAAAAAGGCTGAGTGAGATCTGGGCTCTGTGGTTTTTAGCAGATGTTACTCAAACAGGAGTAAATCTATTGTGAATATTGAAGGAACATGTACACAGACGTCATTTAAACCGTTTTAAATACACAGAAAAAAACATATATATATTTTTTGAATTAGCCAAAATAAAGAATTCCATTCACAACCTTTAATTATTCCAGGTGTAATTGACAATGAAGCATTTCCAAAAGCTTAATTTAGAATCTTCTGTTATGATCACGATAGTGAACTTTACATGGGAATTGTACTGCAGTACTGTGGTACTGTCTGGAAGTAATGCTAATATTAATGATTTAAAAAACTATGTTGTTGACATATCACATGTTTCGGATTTTTATCTTCAAGCATCAAACAATTAATTACTATTTATTTTTAATTACTGTTAAAAGTTCTTTGCTGCTGTCGACAGCTTTACCACAAATACACACAACATTATTAACACATATACATTAAATGATTATTATCTTATCCTTAGAACTTCCGTGCGACCGGGGAAATGTACGACCTTCTTCCCTTTGCTATGGACGATGACTGGAGACGGATTCGTAACATCCTCTCCCCCACATTCTCCTCTGGTCGTTTGAAAGAGGTACGAGTTCCTTAGTGTTATTCATTTTCCTGGTGATTGAGTATTTTCATAGTTCCAACTTCACCTTTGCTCTGTTTAGTTTTGCTCTCGCTCTGTTTTAGATGTTTAGCATCATGAAACATCATTCCCGCAAACTGACGGAGAAGCTGCGGCTCAACGTGCACAGTGAGGAAGTTGTTGAGGTAAAGAGGTAAGTGGTGCCGTCCTATAAACGGTTACTAAATGTTACCGGAATCAAACCCACTGCTAAATTTTATGCATCCTCAGAGGTGTCCAGGTGAAAACTACATATGAGCTTTAGAGTTGGTGGAAAGTACATGTCAAAGCTCTTGTTAGCAAGTATAGCATGTTCAAAAACCCCAGTTATTACAGTACATACAGATATCAGCAATTACACGCGTACAAAAGCTGTCCGTCTTTATATGTGTTCAAACTACAATAAGTGAATGAACATGTACCCTGACTTACTTCAGGAACGTATTACTTTGTGTAGTAACTGAGAAGATGCTTCTCAGTCCCTGCCACTGGTTTCTAATGATAACACGATGTGTGTGTCCCAGCGTCTTTGGACCCTACAACATGGACGTGATAGCCAGCTGTGGATTCAGCGTGGACGTGGACTCCATCAACAACCCTTCGAGTGCCTTCGCCACCCACGCCTCGAAGCTGTTTAGAGTTTCCATCTTCCTCTTCATGTTACAAGGTACTTCCACGCTTTTATTAAACTGCAGTTTGTTTTCCTTGTATTGTGACGACGATCATATTCGACTCACCCTCTGTTGTCAGGATGCTTCCCCTTCTTTCTTCCTCTCTTGAAGCTGTTGGGTTTGTCCGTGTTCTCCAATTCCTCCTCATCGTTCTTGAGAAAGGTTGTGGAGAAGATCAGAGCTGATCGCAGTGACCAGGTTTGGATAAAGAACAGGACAAGGGAGCAGGGGGGGGGCACAGAGAGAGAGAGAGAGGTGACTGACCGACCTCATCTTCTCTGTTTTCAGAATTCACGAGACATCCTTCAACATCTGATCGACTCTCAGACAGTCGGTGAATCCAGAGGAGAGAAGCAGAATAAGGGTAATCAGAGAATTACATGAAATGACATCATTCACACACACACGTATGACACCTGTCAAGCCTTTCATCTCCATTCCTGTGTGCCGCCCCCCCCCATGATCATTAAGACAGGTCTCAATGATCATGAGATTATTTCTCAGGCTGTACTGATTATGAGCGCTGGTTTGGAGACAAGTTCCTCTGCCCTCAACTTGTTGGCCTACAATCTGGCCCTAAATCCTGCCGCCATGAGACGCCTGCAGGAGGAGATCGACGCAACTTTCCCAAACAAGGTAGAACTCAAGCGTCTGGTCGTTGTCTCTTTCGTGATGTACCTCGTTTCCAAAGATCCCAGTTGTGTTTCAACTAAATTGTTCTGACTCCTCCACAGGGCTCGGTCCAGTGTGAACCTCTGATGCAGATGGACTACTTGGACTGTGTGGTCAATGAGAGTCTGAGGTGATGAGCGTCTCTCTGATCTCGACTGATTCACGAAGAAAAGAAGTCGGATTTCTAAAAACTTTTTCAAAATGATCAAATCAAATGACAGCGTGCTTACGTCACCACCGTCTTCTTTGAAACGTTATGATTGTAACTTACACGTTAGCACGCTTACCAGTTAAGTATGATTACTGTAACGTTAATGTTAATGACAGACACTATTCTTAATTAAATATTTTGCAACCAGTTCTAAAGACACCAAAACCCTGTGTTTCAAGTACTTTATACTCATTTGTAGGTTTGGGGTAGTTTTGCTTTAATTTTCATATTTAGTCGAATCTTAATTGAATACAAAATAATCCTACTGATGTTTTCACTCGTGTTTCACCTACATTGTTTTTCTTTACCCTACACTGGGCTCTTTATATTTCAGTACTTTATTGTAAATACTTTAGGAGTGGGTCCTCTCTACAGAGGCCACCATGTGTTTTTAAAGTAGCCCAGACTGGACACACACAACAAAATATTATCATTTTGTCAACAGGCTCTACCCTCCGAGTGCACGAATCGATCGAGAGGCCAAAGAAACTGTCGCCGTCAAAGGAATCACAATCCCGAAGGGCATGGTAGTTATGATCCCCGTCTACGCTCTGCACCGCGACCCTGAGCTGTGGCCAGAGCCAGAGGAGTTCAGACCCGACAGGTGCTTCTGTTTGTACAGATTCTCCATAACACAGTTATATTTTTACAGCTTTGAACGTCGGGAAATGACTTTACAGGATTACAGGACTCATTGTTAACGAGCTACCAGACGATTGGAAATAATAAGGGAATCTTTTACGTTTTCTCGGGGGAATGTTTGCATTCGTTTAACGGCAGGAGAGACCAGGAGGGAATGTGAGACAGAGAGGACGGGTACATACGGGACATTACAATATTATGTCATGTACAGGTTACCGGTATGGAATTACTAAAGTTTGGTCATTTTAGACTTTAGTAATCATCTATGTTGAAGTCAACTGACATTCAGGAGAATGCGATTATACTGTTGTGTGAATAATTATCTCCACCAAGGACGCTGCGTGTTCGTCCAACACATTTCCGCAAAATGTGGGATGGAACATACGCCAAGAAAGAAGCCAGTACATTTCGGTGTTGATCTGGTTAAAGGGGTGAATTCAGAATATGTTATTTTTTCTTTAATTTTAAAAGATGGGGCTTCTTTTTTTTTTTTTTTAACAATTTCCCAAAGACAAACACACAGATTTAGGAGGCTGATATCTACAGTATGAGTGTTCATGGTTTGACTGACTGAAAGGTATGAACAAGCCATTCAAGTGGATATCATGGTTCATACATAGTCTGAACATTGAATTTCAAATGACATTTATTTGAACTTCAGAAATTAGCAAAATAATGAGATGAGTGATATAATCAAGTGCTAGCTGAAGCTATTTTAGTGTAATTTGTTTTTCCAATTTATTCATAAATGTTGAACTTGTTTTTATCTGCTGCTGCCTGCTTGTTTTCTAGATTTAGTAAAGAGAACAAGCAGAACATCCACCCATACGCTTTCCTGCCATTCGGCATTGGGCCACGGAACTGCATGGGGATGCGGTTCGCGATGTTGATGGTTAAACTGGCTTTGGTGGAAGTTTTGCAGAACTACAGCTTCTCAGTCTGTGAGGAGACAGAGGTGATTATATTCGAATTTAAAAATATGCTTGGTCATGGTCGACGTGATTTCTTTATTCTTGTATAATATAACATCAAGAAGTTCCTGATGTTGTAAATTTGCCGATTCCACAGATCCCTTTGCAGATGGATCCTCAAGGCCTGGTTGGACCATTAAACCCAATTAAACTGAAGCTGGTGTCCCGTTCCAACGATTCCGAAAATGTCGACACGCGCAACTAGGAAATGATCAAGAGAGACACGTCCCTCGAGACTGAATTATCCTCTTAATTGGTTCATTTACTGACGATGCTACTTACATCATAACTGTTTTTATCAGAAACTTGTATCTAAACCAATAATAGTGATCGTGTAGATTTTTGCATCATGTCCGTGCAGAATGACTTCTTATGTTAAATACAGAAGAAATAAAATAATTGACATATTGTTAATGATACAAATATGTTGTCTACTAAATGTAAAGACTGAGTGGAACTGGTGACATGAAGAGAAAGAGAGAAAATATTATAATAAATCTGCCAAATGATACTAAACAAACGTTCCTTTCTGCATCATGAACAATGTTCAGTGTTCTCTGTCATGTTTGTTTGTTAGTAACAGGAACACAGTGACACAGTTGGTGAATGTATAACCTGCAGACATAAAAACACCTGATAATTGGACCCAGGATCTGCTTTGAGGTAGAGTCAAAGTATTTATATTAAGCTCCATGTGAAAAAACCTTCCGGAAGCTTTACAAACATCTTCACAATGAAAACAAAAAAACAGGTTCAACATCTTTCCTTAAAAGATGAATCTCAGTTCAAAGATGAAAGTCAAAGACGGTTTCGATGCAGCGTGAGCACTCGCTCGATCTCCAGGATAAAATCACTCCAGGGCGTTGAATCGTCCCTGTTGACAGGTACAGAGTGAAGTGGACCTGGTCCCAGGGTTGTGGGGACATTTCTTACTGGTTGTGAGTGTCGTTATCACACAGTCGCTTACAGGGAAATGTGACCGTTCAATTTTCCTTGATAGAAAAATGTGTTTTGTTGAATATTTGATTTGACTTGGTTTAGCTTGTAATGTTTTACTTCCAGATAAATACATGGGAGAAGAAAAGTCACTGTGGGCAGATGTCAAAGATAAAAAGAGGCACGGAAATCTTTTTCCCAGTTCTTATCCCTTTGCTCTTTTCTCCTACTTTCTTCCTTCCTCTTCCCTTTTCCTTCCCTGTCCTCTTTATCCTTGGCAGGTGGTTTAACAGCGTCACGATCCCTGGCTTGGAAGTGTGTAACTTTGGCTCTTCTCAGCTCTCCGTAGCCCAGACCTTTCTGGTCCCTCTTCAGCACGGTTGGCACTGGCTGCTGCGGCCCCTCCCCCTCTGGCCCCAGTCCTGACCCTGGTTTCCAGCCACAGCGAAGCATCATCTTGTAGCTGTTGCTGGAGGCGGGGAGGCAGTAGAATGGGGTCGGGGGAGGACGCCGCAGACTGAATTGGTGCAGAGTGGAGGAGAGATGTGACGACAGGCCGCTGCTGTACTCTGTGCAACACACGTCACACCACCGAGCCTCACAGGCGCTGAGGACAAACACACAGGATTTGTTTTTAACTTAATCTTTATCAATGGATGATGTAGTTGCTGCTGGGTTGAATTGTCTTATACAGAGAGTTGATCAAGTTTAGTCTAATGAAATAGAAGTATTTGTCTGTCGTACATCTGATTTTATTAAACATCTTCAACTTGGTTTAAAACAATATAAAGCGATGAGTGTGCTAACCTGCCATCCAAGTGTGTGTCTCTCTGCACACTTCTCCCATAGCTCTCCAACTCCTCCAACACGTCTCTGTGGCCCGCTGAGGAACAAGTCAGGTCATGGATGACATCAATTTCACAGTCAACACAAAAACAAACACAGGGTTATAGTTGCACAGTTGAGCGTTAGACGAGCTGCATGGTTATACCTTCCAGTGCCAGGTCCTTGGCGTCTCTGCCCTGGGTATCCACCACTCCGACCCAGGCGGCTCCGTGTTGCAGCAGCAGCCTCACCGCAGCTCTCTGTCCGGACCAGCTTGCACACATCACCGCCGTCCAGAAGAACGTATCCTGGAGAAGTCAGGCTCATCAAGTAAACTGTAAACAAGTAAACTGAACAGACGTCACAGGAGAAGACGGCGAGCTGCGAGCGATCATACCTGGAAGTTTATGTCGACCCCCTTAGAGAGCAGCTCTCTGAGAGCAGACACGTCCCCCTCGTGGGCACAGCGCAGGAACCTGAGTCCCAGGAGCTCCGTGGATCTCTCTGAGTCGCTGTTCGATGCCCTCTCTCTCCTTTGTGAATCCTCACCTCCTCCTCCGGTCTCTCTTCCCACTCCTGAGGCGGTTCGGTCCTGATGCGTCTCTGCAGCCCTGACTCTCCTCCGGGCTCCTCTGCTGGACTCTCTGTTTTTCTTTGACGCCTTCTTCCCTCTGCCACCGTCTCTCGTTAGGTTTTCATAGAACCGCCTGGCCTCTTCCCCACTGATCACACTTTTTGTTCTGGAGCTGGACGGACCCATCGTCTCGGCGCTGAAAAAATCCTGCTCACTGGCAGGAGTAAAACCTAAAGTGGCCATGAGGACAGTTCAGTTTCACTGATGCCTCCTGTGAATTCAGTCCCAGGGACAACAGATAAGCGCTGTGCTCTTGCTGAGATTTGAAATGAATATCACGTCCAGCTGATGCTTGTTCAGTTAGCCAGGTAGCTGGCAGGTTGGATTAGTGATCCTGATATCGTTTCCCCGCACGTCACACATCAAAACACCATTTAAACCACACAGTATTTAGCTAACACTTAGCATTGAGCTAGCCCCGGTTAGCGCTCAGATTCAGACACGATAGTTCGTTTGAGTCGAACTAAAGTTTTCAGTTCGTCGACGTCACCGAAGACGCCTCAAAGAAGGAAACTGTCAAAGACAAGAGAGAAACACGATTCACGTCTCAAACAACGTGATCCTCGCTTCAAGCTAATGTTGCTAACGTTGCTAACGTTGTCCCCGTCTCCATGTTTGTAAACAGGAAACGTGCTTCGCGTTACGTGGGTAAGAGCTCAGTGCTGCCTCCTGTCGGACCGGCGGTCGTGGTGCACTGGTCGACATTAGTTATGAAATGATTGTAACTTGATAATAAATTCAGTAAAACAGTAGAAACATAAACACCAGAGTTAAACGACCTGATGATGACAATAGATTCATTTTATTGTCACACATGTGAAACAGCTGTTCGTGTCAATACTGTCGGTTTTTTTAATGCGTGTGTTGTTTTTAAATACTCTGCATTGATTCTGCACAGTAACGAAAACATTCATCACAAGTTAAATCAGTTTAGAGACAAGTTCTGTATGGGAATATTTCCTTTCTCTTGTTTTTCTCCCCTGCTTTTTATGTTTCAGAACCAGATAAAGCTGAATAGGTTTGTAAAGTAGTTGTCTTAGAATCCCCAAAAGAAATGAGCAACACAGAAAT